CTTGGATTTTCAGGCTATTAAAGTTTCTTAAACAATTTCTCAATTTTTTTGCAAAGTTCCAACTTACCAGCTTTGCTATGAATTGTAAAAAAATTTTTTGTAGTAGGCGTATTTTCACTTTTTTCTCCCGTGCTTTTAAAATTTTTGATCCATTTCATTTTTAATTCGACAAATTGGAGATTGAATTTCTACTATTCATCTTATTTAGGTTTTCATATAACATCTCAGATTTTTAGATTATCCGTACTTTCACTTCTTACCTACTCTTTCCACCCTTTGCAAACACATATCCATATATAGCGTGATTTATTTAGAAAGGCCTAATTTTTAAGCTATCAATTTTTATCGATAATTTACATTGCCTTATTGAAGCCATTATTTTCAACTAAAATAAAGATTCAAAAAAGAAATAACCTCATTTTTAGTTTTATTTGGAAAAACCGGACTTTTCATCGGTCAATTTTTATCAAGAATTTATACTGCCGTGTTGGAGTCATAATCCGGAACAACGTCCAATGTTTCATTCGTTACATCGTCGATTGCAAAATGTCACTTGCGCACAGATGAGCGAAGGTTGCTGCTATTAATAATCATCTGGAAGGTCTCGGACGATGAATTACTTTACATATATCATTATTTTAGTGTCTTAATTTATTTCCGTATTAATGATTGGTGTGTTGTTGAATAAAATGTGTTTTATATGGTATGAAGCTTTCACGAAATCAAACAATTAAATGCATTTTCTAATTTGAAAAATATACTTCATCATACGCTTTTACTAAATTTGTTGGCTTCTTTGATTGAATTGACTGCTAATAATGGCTGAAGCCAAGAATAACTATCAAACAATGAGGACCAAAGATATATTGTGGCCAAGTATATCGAACAATGTAGTAGACTTTTATAGAGAGATAACAAATAGTGATTTTAAAAAGATTACTGAAAAATTTTAAGGCTAAAGGAAATATTGTTCTGATATTCCTCTTGTGATGGAGAGAGAAAAAGCAGACAAGTTCGTCCTTCAATAACACTGGCGGAAATAGGCCAAGAAATTGTCAATTAAAATTTAAACGGGCAAGTTAATCATTTAAAGGAAAGGATAGATGATAGTCAAAAGAGTTTTAAACTGCCGAAATTAATATTGAATAAAAAAACATTGATGGTAAGAGAGAGTATTGAAAATGAAAGATAACATGGAATGATATGATGCATGTAATAGCACTGTTATCAGTGTGTAAAGATTGAGAAATTCTTTGAAAAAGTATGTGTCACAACAATAATAGTGATTGAGGGTAAAGAAAGAATACAGAGAACGAATATTTATAGTAAAGATGAAACAAAGAAATTATATATGATTTATTAGTAAACAAGTTATGTAATTGTATTTTATGAAATTAACATATGATTATGTAATTGTGTTCACTTTATTCATCACAAACAAAGTCACGTGATGCGTTACTTTTAAAATAAAAATTTTACCAATTTGAAAATTAAACATAAAATGAAAGATAACTGTATAAATCTACTTTAAATGTATTTTGCAATGCAAAACTAAACGCTGCTTTTATTATTTGCGCTCTATGGATAAGAAGAAAATATTGTCGGCAATCGTTATTCTCACGCAATTAAACGTGTCTCCAAATTCATTACACTTAACGGCTTAATTCATATCTACACGAACAGAACAACAAAAGTCATCATGGAGTGAAACATTTAGCCGGGATGGTTTATTTTCGCAGTGTCCTAGTCATATGAAGCATAAAGAATACGTGATGAAATATTAAGTCTGGTTTATCTTGGTAGGGTGTGCAGTTTTGGTTGAGGATTAATCGGTGTTACGTCTGCTTGCTGTAATAGCCTCGATATAATGTGATAAGTGATCATATCAACGATGTATAACAATGAGTTTTTTTGCACGGAATTTTGACTTATAAAAATTTTATGTCCATATGTTTGTCTTTATTTAAGTTTTAATTTATTATATATATTTAATATTATGTATATTTTATTATTTTAGTTACTGATACTGCTGTTGTCAATAACTTGATATCGCTGTTATTTACAGATTAACTGATTTTAGGTTGAATCTGTTATTTTGCCATTGCTCATTATTCTTTGTAATTATTGATGAGACGACATTATGAGATACTCATTAATTATTGTTCATTAATGTATTTAATATAATAAGTTTAATACCACAATTCAGTAAGGTTTTTGATAATGAACGGCATATGCGTACGAATCATTCAATCCGGTCAGTTTGTAATAGGTACTTGACCATTTCTGTTTCAGGTGTTTAGTGGAGTAGCCTTTACGTGAACATGTCTGACCAGTGGGCAACCGAAGCCAATGACGTGATTGGCAGTTATGATGAACCTTTAGGTCAATCGGAGGCACCGGAAGTGAAACTTTTCGGTAAATGGTCCTTGGACGAAGTTCACATTTCTGATATTTCTTTAGTGGTTAGTTTGTTGTGTATTTTGTTTTACTATAAACTAGTATAAGGCAAATGTTATGTTGCTTAACTGAAAAGTAATTGCCTTGCCGTTCATGTGTCTTACTGATGAAACGATGCTTTAAGTAGTTCAGGTATTATTTTTGTCAACTTACATATTAATTTTTATTTCATGTTTGTAATTACATCCGTAGAAAGAGATTCTGTAGCTGCATTTGGGTTTCTTTATTCATAGAAATGAAGTTCGCCAGTCAGATCGATGCTTTGCAGGATTATATAGCCGTAAAAGGAAAGTCCGCAAAATACTTGCCGCATAGTGCTGGACGATATCAAGTCAAACGTTTTCGTAAAGCAACATGCCCATTGGTAGAAAGACTTGCATCAACGATGATGATGCACGGCCGGAACAACGGCAAAAAACTGATGACTGTGCGCATCGTAAAACATGCATTTGAAATAATCCATCTGTTATCCGGAGAGGTTCAATTTTATATCCATTTGATTTTTTAATTTATCTGTTCATTCATCTTATTTCATTAGATCAAAAAATCAACAAAAATATTTAGCAAACTGCAAAATATGCGAAAGTTTCTGCGAAAATTAATTTATGCAGAGTATGATAGTTAAAATCATAAAACTCAAAATTGCTTCAAAAAATAATCACAGGACTTTCTCATGAAGTTAAAGCATGATGTTTTTAAACAGATGTTTTAAGATGTAGCTTGTTTCAGAATCCCGTGCAAGTGCTCGTGCACGCTGTAATAAATAGTGGGCCAAGGGAAGATTCAACACGTATTGGTCGCGCGGGTACAGTCAGACGACAAGCTGTCGATGTGTCACCTCTTCGCCGTGTAAATCAGGTCTTTTTTCGCAATTAAGGAGCACTTAGGTGATTGTTAAGATGTTTATAAATAGGTCTATCTTTTTCCTATTACCACTTCCAAAAAAGCCGAAGAACAGGAAATTGTATTTTCGTATTAGATGACACATGATTCGAATCTTTGAAAATTTACAGTAGGAAGTTTTTTCTTTTTGGTTTTAATTTGAAGTCTGTGCAGCAATTTCTGCAAACTGCAAATAATATGCTCACTCAGTGAAGTTGAAAATGGCACATGACTTCGACTTAGTTCCTAAAAGTATAATTTCACCGCAGGCTATCTGGCTTCTTTGTACTGGTGCGCGTGAGGCAGCATTCCGCAATATCAAATCAATTGCGGAGTGTTTGGCAGACGAATTGATTAATGCAGCGAAGGGATCGTCGAATTCTTATGCAATCAAAAAGAAAGATGAATTGGAACGTGTCGCGAAATCGAATCGATGAGTTCCATTTGTTGGATATATTATTCAATTTGTCGAATGGAATAAGCTTTTACATTATATTATTAAACAAATGTTGTTATTAAAAGGTTGTTCGTCATATAATTCCGTGGTATAACACTGTATACATTACATTTGACTTTCAAACTCTTCTTTTATTTCATTCTCATTTTGCAATAAAAGATTAACAAACTCATTAATCGGAAGACCCCAACTAAGTTTCTTTCACCCAATTTGCGCTAGTTCAAATTATTTTCATCAAAGAAGTTAGAATGATTCGCTTCTTAATTGCAAAAAAATCTAGAAAACAAAAAGCCGTCATATTTTGCATAAAAACCTGAAGAAGTATGTCCAAGTGTATGTTGGATCGGAAATATCATGAATCTCGCGTGGAGGAATTCGAGAAAGTAGGTGACCACGAGGCTTGGCAGATTCATGAAACATGGTTACATGATGTAAGGTCCAGTGTTTGCACCTCGAGACGTGTACAGGGTTGAGGGTCATGTCGGTCTTGAAATGGTTATGGGTGAAACGCTAGTACGCACATCAAAGAGTTCGAAATTATAGAGTTAGATGGCTTTCAATTATTTTTGTAAATAACTGCGAAGCCATGGTTTTATTTAGTTATTTTAAAAAGAAGGCAGAAATTAAGTCTTCTGGAGAGCGAATTCAGAATTGCGGTTAAGAGAGGATATCACTTTAGGAAGTAGGAAATTCAAACAAGTGGTCTTATTGTTTATTTCATCCACAGATGACATTGAATTTGAATATGAACTCGGGATTAAATTTGAATTTTGTTGATTTTCTCGTCTGATTCTGCTATATATTGCCGCAATTTAAAACAGTTACTTTCAGTGACGTTTTAATGAAATGAAGACGGAACAAGAAGTAACTGATCGTACTACGCGCTGTTTCAATCGATTGCAAGTAGCATTACGCCGTGATGGTCGTATTCCGGAAAATGGTTTACCTCAGCAAGCAATTGAGGGGTTTCTAACACGTTTAGCAAGTTTGGATTCAAATAATCGTTTCGGTACAATTTGCATTGGAGCTGGTGAACGTGAAGGTCGTATTTTATCACCACTGGTTCAACAATTACACTATGGCTTAGCGCATGGAATTGGCAGGTCAGGAAATTTAACCGAACGTCAACCGAAAGCAATTGGTTCGTCAATTCTGTCAGAAATTACTAATAAACTTGCCTTGGATGCTATCCGTTCCCTCGGGATAGCGGGGACGAAGGCAGCTATGGTAGTACCTGTTGCAACCGGTATGGCACTTTCATTATGCTTGAGTGCATGGAGGCATACGAAACGTCGTGCTAAATTTGTAGTTTTTTTACGTATCGATCAAAAATCATGTTTCAAATCCATTTTTACGGCTGGTTTTGAACCGATTATAATTGATGGCATCCAGGAAACAATGATAAGCGATGGACTTATCACAGATCTCACTGCACTGAAAGTTGTTTTGGAGAAACAAAAGAACGAAATTATCGCTGTGCTAAGCACCACTTCCTGTTTTGCTCCTCGTCAACCGGATGATTTGGCTGCTATTGGTGAATTATGTGCTAAATATGGTGTGAAACATCTGGTAAATAATGCTTATGGTTTACAATCACCGGAATGTCGAAATCGAATCCAAGAAGCTGGTTTAGCAGGATATATTGATGCATTTATACAATCAACGGATAAGAACTTCTTGGTACCAGTAGGTGGTTCAATTGTGGCAACATTTGATGAAAAATCCTTGAATATCATAGCTAATTTCTATCCAGGACGAGCTTCCATTGTACCATCACGTGATTTGTTGATTACTTTACTACAGTTAGGCAAAATTGGATTAAGAGAACTCTACAATACGCAGCAAACAAATTTTGAAATTTTGCATGCGGCAATGAAGGAATATGCTAAAACAATTGGACAAAGGGTAAAAGAATTTCAAGATATACATAAGCGAATAGATAGATGGATAAACAGATTAAATAAGTAGCTTAATGGATGCAGAGATGTGACGAATACACGTATCTATCAATCGATTTACCTTTTCTAACGAAGATGATCTCCATTAATTGAATTTCTTAATTCTGATAATTTCCATAATTCTTGTTATACATGTATGTTGAATTTCCAATCATCAATCATTTATGGATGATAGATTGATAGAGAGTACACTGCAAGTTATGCTGTCATTAGTTCAGATTTGTAGTAAGATAAAACTGAGCTTGAAGAAGCTTCTGATTGAGATAATTTCACTACAACTGCAAATCCTTTGATTGAGATTTTCATTATCGACATCAAGATTCAACATTTGGCAAACAATTAATCCAAAAACATTTGATTGAGATAAGATCCGCAATGTTTGACTGCATTAATCTTGTTTTAGGTCATGGAAGTTAAAATGAATCGGATTTCGCTTGCAATTACATTGAAGGGTTGGACAAGCCAACAGCAGAATACCTTCGGTGCTCAATTGTTCAGTCGTGGTGTCACTGGTGCTCGAACGGTACCAAATGGCGTGTTAAAATCAATTGATGGCTATGAATTTCTCAATTTCGGTTCACATTCATCACGACAACATGATGGTTATTTAAATGTTGCTTGTGCAATCGGTATGTCAACACGGGAAATCCAAGAACTAGTGAAAGTGCTCAAGGAGGAAACTCCAAAATGGGCATTTTCTCAATCCAATAATGCACATGCTAAAGGTATTTATCCGTAATATTCTTGATTGAAATTTGAAGTCTACCATTCAACTCCTAAATCTAAATTAGAAAATTCGGCTGAACAATGCTTCTTATTGTGCTAATATCAGTTATGACAATTTTGATATCTTGTGGAAGTGTTTATATAAATATGGCTAGCAATTCTTCGCTTTATAAGATAGGGCATCTAAGATGAGGTAAATGTTCACACGATGAAATCATGATTAAATACAAGTAGACTCAAATAGTAGCTATCCATTCCTGTGCTTTTTTTTGTTATACACTATGTCTTAAATTTCAGTACCAACTACCTCATAATTCTCGGGACTGATAGTTGTCATTTTAGATTACAATTATAATTATAATCAGACTACTAGTTATGATTTCGCGTAAAAATCTTTGCAGTAAACAATACAGTCGGGAACTCAAAAAAGACTGTTTTACAGATTGCAGTTCAGAATCTCGAAATAGTGCAAATTGCATAACGACATTACCATCAATAGAAGATATGCAGGCAAACGAAAGCTATATATAATTTATTCACATCTGTACTGTATTTTTCTCATACTTCGATATCCTCATTTGACCCTATCATTTTATTTTCTGTTTATAGATTTTTTTCGACCTTAATGTGATATTTAAAGTGTACTTAATAAATTTGTTAAACGGTAGCGAATTCCACCACTATCTAAAGTCAACTGGTAACTGTTCATTCATTAGAAAATACTCGGAAATGATGCAAGCGGATGCTTTTATCAAGAAGACATCAAACTATATAATCTCTTTTTAGCGCATGATAATTTTTTAGATTTTCTTTACATTTCGAGAAAATGTCGGCAAAAACTATTGTAGGAACTTGCACAATGCTTAATGTCCCCTAAAAAATATGTACTGTACGCATTGCCTGGATGGAACATCATTTAAACAAAAGTTAAAAGAATTCGTTTTCTTGAATGTATTCATGTCTAGGAAGTTAGTTGAGGTTGTCTAGTAGTCACCAGGAATTGTTTTTTCTTTGTTCATCGTTTGAACAGTTAAAAAGAGTCTGGATCCAAGAAATCAGCTATAGTTTGCCACAACGTGCGAAAATAAGAAAATGGCGAGGGATTAATCGTTATTTTCGCATGTAACTGTATCTACAATTCAACATTCTGGAAGCGAATAAGAGGATTTTAAAGTGCATTCAATTTATTAACTGCGGACGTATAACATTTGCAATAAAATTTTGGAAAACTTTTCGCATAAAATTAAAAATCAATCGTCAAAATACAAATCCATTAGGGTACTTTTAAACGTTTCAATGAAATTTGTATTAAATTTACATTAAATTTAATATAAATTTCGCATAAAAAGCATATGCAAATTTTGATTAAAATAAGAACGAAATCCAGGCTAAAATGTACATGACGCCACCAATCGGGGCGTACTTTCTGAAATTTTCTTTTCCGGTGATGCTGTAATGGTAGCAAGATCCCGAGAACACTGCCATACCACCAAGAAAAAGCGAAATAGTAAGCAATGGAAAACGTGCCTTATTAGCAAGAAATAATGCTACCGAATGTATCAGGTGGTAACGATTACCAGTTTCGAAAGAACGTAAGCGCCGTTCATCTGCATTTCCACTTTCACGTAAAGCATGGGCTCCATACGCACCAAGTGATATTGCCAAAGCACCTGATAAACCTGCCAGACGGACCAAATGTGATTCATTCATAAAACCCTACAAATCAGGAACAATGAAGTATAAAACAATAATCTATCTTTCAACACTTCATTTTAAAGAGCCTGAAAATTTCACCTAGAATAAATAAATATCAAAAAAAATTCGAAACTACAGCTCCAATATTGAAGGAATCTTTAGAGCATGAAGCGATTACTAGTCTATGATTTGTTTGAAGCTTTCTATTTTACGGATAATTAAGAAGAGTAAACAGGACAATTCTATTTTCTGCCAAGTTTAAGCTATATTCATTTAAGTAATATAGTAAGTTACCAGTGACATAATGGTTGATGATTTCGATGAAGCATTTATATGACCGCCTTTTGGTGGGCATAGTGAATCCAAGAGCTTTACTAAATAATCCATCACTGCTACTGTTTGAGCCAGATCAAAAAAAATTGGAATTTCAATTAGAATAAATTCTAGAAATGAAAAGTTTTCGCAATCCAGTAATTATCAACAAGGATCCATAAACGGTAGCGTAAGTGATATGATAGATCGAAGAGTTTGTACAAATATAATATGATACTTGAAACAATCTTATGTAGACTATTTACGTGAGTATCACTTGCCACACACATCAAATTTTAATCTTTAAACAAAGTGATAAAATAAATTTCGGATTACTTAAACTTCCACCCTATTTTACATTGAAGGCTGCTGGCATTACTGCATAGCCATGGACACAAAACGACCTTATATTGGAAGATTTAAACGACCATCAAGTTGTTTCATATAGATTACATGCTGGACATACAATATGAGAGTATTACAAACATTGCTACAGCTTCATTCCACCCAATGAAAGAAACAAGCAAGTTGCGTCTCGAAATGAAAGTATCTCGAAGATGTTAGTTACGGTGAAGCTCAATTTAACGCCCACTTTCATTTTTGAATGAAAGGATGAGAATTTGCATATCGCTCCGCATGAAGGCAAGCTTGATTTCCGGTTGTCCGGGTATCAATTTCCAGTAAGCTGTGAATTGTCGTATTACAGTGCCGTTAAAAGGATTGAGTATCGAAGTTGCAGAACATGAGGCTGAAACTTCTGAGATATTGTTAGAAGAGAAAGTTTTTTGAAATTTTTAATTCATTTAATGATGATATGTTTTCGTATTGAATAATGTAAATTTTCAAACGGTTTAATGTATCATATCAGTTATTCAAAAATAATTTACTAAAAATCTACATTTTAAGATAATAACAGATGGGATTTATTCAATGATATGTTTCCATATTCACAACGTGCGGATTTTGATATATTTAGTATTTAAATGTGAAACCTTATAAGATTATTTACATGGCGTATTAATTAGATGTTTTGGGATTTCATTCCTGATAGTCGAAGAGTTGATGAGGAATTTGCTTAACATATTTGTAATGCTCCAAAGAAATTCTTTATAGCTGTGCTGTTATTGGTTCTTCCTAGTCATTCATAAATTTTTTTATTTGACAATTGTCGCTCTTACTGTCATTAGAGCAATATATGCGGCAAATTAACGGATTTATATTTTATATTTTGTATCACTATTGGATTATATGATTGGTTTTCAATTGTGAAGCTAAACTAATGAAGCTATTCTTTTAATTCAATTAACTGCACTCATTCCTTTTTGCATCACAATTTTTTGTCTTCACCAATTCTGCTGAATTACAAAAAGCAATTCATGCAATAATTTATCTAATTCGGCCATCTCTTTCCGAGATATGTTATGCATTATAACATACTTTTCAATTTCTCTACTGAAATTTGAAAATGTTTCAGGTCTTCTATTTTTATTTTATGCTGCTTTTTCTGCTTCTTGTTTTAGTTATCATATGACTTTAGGGACAATTTTGTCCATTTAATTAGTCATTTTGCTATTGTTGAAATGGTCGGTAGATTTCTGATTAGATTTGATTTCTGATCCGATTTCTGATTTCGTTAATTTTAAGTCAGAGCTGATATGTAATAAATCGTGAAGTTTAGGAAAACTTCTACAAATAATTATTAACAAATTAATAATTTAACAACTGAGCAAATATAGATAATTGCAAATATAACTAGTGTAATGAATAATAAAGCATAATTAAAATCTGACTAATTTTGCAACGCAATTATCTACAATGATCCACTAAATAACATTTTAGGGGTAAGAAAATCATTAGTACCAGGTACTTTTTAACACGAATTTGTTTACTTAATGTTGATTATTGTTTACTTTTTCACCAAATTTGCTACTCTATAATCCTTTATGATATTGCTAGTAATTATTTACCGACTATGATCCTTGCGCTGACTTCCAGAAAACTGGTTCATTCAACTAATTCACAAACTATTTTTGTTTCCGTTTAATTATCTGGAAATGTTATAAGTAAGCCTTTATGAAGAGGTCCTTATTCGTCTCTTTCTTTCTCTCTCTCTCGTCTCCTTCCATTTTCTTTCTAATTTAGAGGGTCGAATTGTTAAACTAGCGTATACATTAGTATGGAAGGAGGGATGACTAAGAAACGAATTGTGAATAATTTTGAGATCTGCCACCAACTGCTCTTTTTTGATGAAAAATGGAAGTAATGGAGAAGCAAAAAGAGAAAAAGAGGGAGAGAGAGAGGAGCAAGAAGAGAAAAGGAGGGAGAGAGATTAAGACGGAACTGAAACTAATCTTTTTCTACTATCATCTCTCATCATTTCTTCACATTCTCGATTCCACTTTCCATCTATTCCATCTACTGCTAATAACAAATAGCAATACACCTCACTTCTTCACTCTCGGTTTAGTAGTAGTAGTAGTAGATTGTTGTTGTTTTGAAATAGTATCGTGAAAAGAAAATGGACTAATTATCAGCAATGACCTTATGATTCGTGTCATCTTTTCAGGGTATATACGATTGTTCTAATAATACAATCCAACGAGAGAATGTTTATGTATCATCATAAAATCTTATTTCAGTTAATTAAAATGAAGTAAAATTGATGAGCATTGGAAAAAGATAGTGATTATTAGGATTGTCACTATATTACTATGCTTATTTGCCTACTTAACTAATGAGTAGTAAATAACAAACAATCTTCTATCACATATCAACAAGCACCAAAATTACTAATTTCTTAAAAATAGCAAATTACATACATTAATTAAGTACAATTCTTAATAAACAGTCTGCTCATATTTCATTCATCATCTCTTCTATAAAAAGTTCGTTATTCTTAAAAAAACTGAAATGTATCATGCAGGAATGCAAAATAGCTGTCAAATATTATTATCATCAACACACACACACACACACATACACACACATACACACAAACATGCACGCGCGCACACATACACGCACAGACACACGCATACATACCCATAGACACATAAAACAACAACGACAACATTCATCCAAACCTTGTTTACTCATTCAAATATATGAGTCTTTCTCTCTGCTGATATATTTTAGTCTTTCACTTTGCCGATTATTCCAAAACATTTTGCATATATGCGTATGTGTACGTGAATGTATGTATGTGTGTGTGTGTGTGTGTCTATGTGTTTGCGTGTATATGTGATAATTATGACTACAGCTAAAGGCTGTCGATTTTCATATCGCTTTACTATTTCTCGATCACAGCAATTCCTTTCTTTGCCTTCTCTTTCAACTCCAAATTCAACGGACACATCATTTCATTTGGCCAAATCACTCCTAACTACCACTCAGTGACGACTAATATCAATCAAATGAAGTGTATGTGTATGTATGTGTGTCTGTGTGTATGTATATGTATGTATGTATATGTATGTATATATGTATATATAAGTGTAACAATGGTACGAATGGGTTTTTTCTGGTTTATTCAAGTTCGAATTTCTTGGGTTTAAATTTCGTATATTTGAAAAATGCTAATTTTTATTAAGAATTCCATTTTTCTTTTTCTCTTTCAGTTTGGTTGCGCGTAACACATTAGATTACTCGAGCGTACGGAATAATTAGAAGTAAAGAGCAATATGGCCCAGTTAGGTGTATCAACAGCACCACCGGAACCTGTTCTCGAAGTTCCACCACCGCAAGAAATTAAGATTCTTGAAACTGCCGAAGATATTCAGGTAAATTTTATCGAATCAATTTTACCAAGTGTTAATAGTCATGAAGAATCAAAAAATGAATTTGAATATTACAACTTTATCAATTCTATTTGCAAAATGTGTCGAACTTATAATTACCTTCTTGATGAGTTCAGTTATATAGTTTGAAATTTACCACAGCTTATTATCGTACACTGTTATTGCTATTTTGAGATTTTTTTTGCCCTAAGAATGAAAGGTGAGATTCTGTGGAAAATCGATGAAAGTCACATGAAATAATTAGAAAAAAATGAGAAGTTAGGTAGGTCAAGAAAAATAAAAACAAATATAGAAATAAACAAAAATATATATATATTAGAAAAAATGCTTATGAAATTTTTGCTTATTCAGATGCGTAAATATTTTTTTGCCAGGAATTCTTTTAAATGCTTCACAAGAATGCACAATGTTTTTCTTTTTCTTTGACAATTGGTCGCATTTTACAGAATCGTCGAGCTGAAGTGCTTGGACATTACGCACAGTTTAAAAAGTTTGCTCGCGCTAAACGCGATCGCTTGGAAGAAGCACGACAATTCCAATACTTCAAACGAGATGCGGACGAGCTAGAAATTTGGATACTTGAAAAGCTGCAAACAGCATCGGAAGAATCGTTTCGAGATCCAACTAATTTGCAGGTCCGTTTATTCCTCATCAAACTACATTCCTTTTTAGTTTTTTTATACATGAATATAAATATAGAATTTTGGAAAGCAAATTATTCGTTATTAAATGTGAAAAATCATTAGAAGTTTCTTGAAGCAGGTATCACATTTTGCGAACGGATGCTATGAAAGGAAATTCTTTATCTTGTCCAGGATTACTGTTTATAGGCAAAGATCCAGAAACATGAAGCATTTGAGGCCGAAGTTCATGCACATTCGAATGCTATAGCACAGCTTGATAAAACCGGCACTGATATGATACAGCATCAACATTTTGCTTCAGATATCATCAAGGTGAATGAATCTTCCATATACTAATGATCCGTATGAATGTTTTATTACTTTTCATGAAAATAATTCAGTATGAAATGTAAAAGGATCGTTTTATATTTGAAAATCGGGGATTTTTGGATCTAGTAAGAAAAGTGATAGGTAGCTGTTTTGTTGAAAGAGATTTAAGCGAGATCGAAATTGTAAATTGGACAACGATTTAAAACTATTAAGTAAAAGAAGTTCCATGCAAGATGCTGATGAGGCAGTCTATACAGTAACAGTTAGAGCTAAGTGCTGTGCAAAGTAGTATGACTACTACAGGTTTTCAATGGTTTTTAGCTAATAAGAGAATGGCTTTTTTTGTTCTGGGAAATGATGTGAGTTAAGTAACTCTTTTGGTATAAAATGGCCTTCCAATTTCAGAGACGGCTCAACGAACTGCATTCGTTATGGGATCAGTTGTTCTTCAAGTTAAAGGACAAGGGCATTAAGCTTCAACAGGCCTTAAAACTTTTACAATTTATGAGACAGTGCGACGAAGTACTTTATTGGATTCGTGATAAAGAGGCTTTCGTTACTGCTGAGGATTTTGGTCAGGATTTGGAACATGTTGAGGTTAGTTTTGAAAATTTTTTAATGATATAGCTCTTTTACACAAGTTTTTGTCAAATATTCTGGTGATTAGCTGCTTTTAATTACCACTGCTCAGGTTCTACAACGGAAATTTGAAGAATTTTTAAAAGAACTGGGTAATCATCAGTATCGTATTACGGAAGTTAATCAAGCAGCTGAAAAGCTGATTGACGAAGGCCATACAGAATTTGAAGCGGTTAATCGAAAAAAGGATGAAGTTAATGATGCTTGGCATCGACTTAATACTCTTGCTGCTACACGGTAAGATTTTATTTTTACGGTTATTTCAGCAGGTATTTTTCTTTTTTCGAGTTTAGTCTGTTTCGAGGACGGAAAAGCCAGAAATTGAATTCTTAATTCCAAGATTTAAAAATTTCTTATGCTTGTGATTTTGTAGACGAGAGGGTTTGTTTGGAGCACATCAAGTGCAACGTTTTAACCGTGACATTGACGAAACTTTGGCTTGGATTGGTGAAAAAGATGCGGCGTTGTCATCGGATGATTATGGACGAGATTTAAACAATGTGCAAGCGTTGCAGCGTAAACACGAGGGAACCGAGCGTGATTTAGCTGCATTGGATGCTAAGGTTTGTCTTTCCTAATTGCTTTTGATACTAAAACATTGAAATAATTGGAAGTTCAGTTCTCACTCATTTTATGTTTGTTGTTTTTATATTATCCAGCAACAGAATTTCTTCATAGACTTTCAAACTATCTTATTGTGAAGCACATTGATTTTTACACTAATACTAAACGTCGAAATATGGATAAAATCTGAGGAATGCCTTAGTTTAGCTATAAATTATATTCCTTTGAGATGGCTTTTAGAATGAATGGGTAAAATTTACTCAAATGAATTTTTTCCAGATGACTTCATTATCGACGGAAGCGGAACGACTTGCTCAAGTTCACCCAGATCGGGCTGATGCAATAACTGCAAAAATGAATGAAGCAAAAGACCAATGGGCAGCATTGAAGCGGAAGGCTCAGTCCCGTAAAGATGGGCTGGATGGCTCCTACAATCTTCATCGGTTTATT